CTGGTACTGCGCCCACTACGGTCTCGCACACCTTCACCCTTGACTCAGGAGCTTCTCGCTCCTTCTTTCGCGACTGCACCACACTCACGCCGCTTAGTCGGCCAGTTCCAGTCTCCCTGGCGGACCCCTCCGGGGGTCCGGTCCTTGCCCACTACTCCACGGTTCTGCCGTGTCCGGCCGTCCCGTCCGGCTCGCTGTCAGGTCTTTACCTCCCCTCGTTCTCTACGAACTTGGTGAGTGGAGCTGACCTCCAGAGTCGGGCGGTTGACCAGTTCACTCCTGCGAGTCAGCGAGTGACTCACTGTACGTGTGCTAGGACGGGCCGGCACTTGGCCACGTTCACCCGTGCACCTGGCTCGAGTCTGTACACACTGACCACTGAGTCCCCTCAGGTAGCTGCGTCTGCGTCTACGTCTGGTCAGCTGGCGGCCCCCTGCGAGTGTCGCGCTTTGTCGCACGACACTCTCCTGTGGCACCACCGTCTTGGTCACCCCTCCTTGCCTCGCCTGCGTAGCATGCACTCTCGCTCCCTGGTCTCTGGTCTTCCCAGGTCTCTGCCTGCCCTCCCTCCCTCGCCTGCGCCGCCCTGCATTCCTTGCGTCGAGGGGCGGCAGCGCGCCGCTCCTCACTCCTCCTCGTTCCCTCCCACAGAGGCTCCACTGCAGACGCTCCACCTGGACGTGTGGGGCCCAGCCCGCGTCCAGGGACAGGGCCGCGAGCGGTACTTCCTGCTGGTTGTCGACGACTACACGCGTTACACCACGGTCTTCCCCTTGCAGAGCAAGGGGGACGTCCCTGATGTTTTGATCCCTTGGATCCGCGCTGTTCGTCTCCAGCTCCACGAGCGGTTCCGGCGGGACTTTCCTGTCCTGCGTCTGCACTCTGACAGAGGTGGTGAGTTCTCCTCTGACCTCTTGGTAGCCTACTGTGCGGAGCACGGCATCACCCAGTCGTTCACGCTTCCGGCCTCTCCACAGCATAATGGGGTTGCTGAGCGTCGCATTGGCTTAGTCATGGAGGTCGCTCGTACCTCCATGATCCATGCGGCTGCCCCCCATTTCCTGTGGCCGTTTGCGGTCCGGTACGCCGCGCATCAGCTCAACCTCTGGCCCCGTGTCTCCTTGCCGGAGACCTCGCCCACACTGCTGTGGACGGGGAAGGTTGGTGATGCGTCGCGTTTCCGGGTCTGGGGTGCTCGTGCCTTTGTCCGCGATACCACTGCGGACAAGCTCTCCGCCCGCGCTGTTCCCTGTGTCTTCCTTGGCTTTGTCCCTGACGCGCCTGGTTGGCAGTTTTACCATCCCACCTCGCGCCGTGTCTTTGCGTCTCAGGACGTCACGTTCGACGAGTCGGTTCCCTTTTACCGTCTCTTCCCCTACCGCACTGCCCCGCTCCCCCCCCCCGCCGCTCTTCCTCGCTCCAGGTGCTCCCCAGGTAGACCCCCTCCCCACTCCTGGTCCTGCTCCTTCAGGTGTTTCTCAGGTAGACCCTCCTCCCTTGACTGCGCCGGTTGAGGTCACTGGTGACTCAGGTCCTACTGAGGGTGGTCCTTCTCGGGGTGCTACTTCTAGGGGTGCTGAGCCTAGGGGTGCTGAGCCTGGGGGTGCTGAGCCTGAGGGTGCGGAGCTTGAGGGTGTGGAGCCTGGTGGTGCTGAGCCTGAGTGTGAGGGGTCTGGGGGTGCTGAGCTTGGCGGTACTGACGCTGGAGGTTCTGGAGCTACTGAGGGTGCTGGCGCTGGAGGTACGGGAGCTGCTGGAGGTACTGGAGCTGCTGGAGGCACTGGAGCTGCTGGAGCTGCCGGTACTGGTGCAGCTGCGCCGACACGATTGTTCTTCGCTCCGCCGTCTCCGTCGTCTCTACCGCCGCCTGACTTTGCTCGTCGTCAGGTTGTTACTCTCCCGTCGTCTACTGGTCTTCCGTTACAGACTGGCTCACCGCTACCTGCTCCCTCTCCTTACACTGAGCCGACAGGCAGTCCTGCTACGCGTCGTGAGCCTGCGTCGCGTCCTGTCTCGCCTGTTCGTTCTGGTCGTACCGTTCGTCGTGTCGCTCGTGCGCGTCAGCCGGCTGTCCCCAGCGCACACCTTGTTGTCCGTCGTCCTTCCTCTGCTCCGCAGCCTGTTCCTCTGCCGTCTCCCCCTGCGTCCTCTCTGCCTGCCGTTCCGGACCCTGAGTCTGACCGGTTTCGTACTGAGCACCCTACTGTCACGCGTCTCCTAGCCACTGTTGTCACTGACCCGTCGTTTGAGTCTACTGCTGCGTCTGCCTTGGTCGCTGAGCTTGTTGACTTTGCTGCTGCCTGTCGTCTAGACTACGCCGCTAGTCTTGTTGCTGGGTCTGAGTCTGTCTGTCCTCCGTCCGTCGGGGGTGAGTGTGCTCTTAGCACGGACGTCCTTGAGGACAGGCAGGAGGAGTTCCAGTGTCTTGCTGCTGCTTTACCTCATCTTGTGTCCTCGCTACTTGCCCCTGAGGGAGACCCGGATGCACCAGACATCCCGACTCCGCGCTCTTACGCAGAGGCGATAGAGGGTCCCTACTCCTCTCAGTGGCAGGCAGCCATGGACGCAGAGATGGCTTCCTGGAAGTCCACAGGCACCTACGTTGACGAGGTTCCCCCACCTGGGGCGAACATCGTCAGTGGCATGTGGATTTTCAGGGTGAAGCGGCCTCCGGGTTCTCCGCCTGTCTTCAAGGCGCGTTACGTGGCTCGAGGCTTCAGTCAGCGAGAGGGAGTTGACTTCTTCCAGACCTTCTCCCCCACCCCGAAGATGACCACTCTTCGGGTGCTGCTGCATGTTGCTGCTCACCGTGACTACGAGCTTCACTCTCTTGACTTCAGCACTGCTTTCTTGCAGGGCAGCCTGCACGAGGAGATCTGGCTGCGTCGCCCCCCGGGCTTCACTGGGTCGTTCCCTCCTGGCACCCAGTGGAGCCTCCGGCGGCCGGTCTACGGTCTCCGCCAGGCACCACGTGAGTGGCACGACACACTGAGGACTACGCTTGCGGCTCTTGGGTTCGCGCCTTCTACTGCTGACCCGTCACTGTTTCTGCGCACCGACACTTCACTACCGCCGTTCTACATCCTCGTGTACGTCGACGATTTGGTTTTTGCCACTGCTGACACTGAGGCTCTCGCCCACGTGAAGTCGGAGCTGCAGAAGAGACACACGTGCACAGACTTGGGTGAGCTGCGCAGCTACCTTGGCTTGCAGATCACCCGGGACAGAGCACGCCGCACCATCACCTTGACACAGTCACACATGGTGCAGCAGGTCCTTCAGCGCTTCAGCTTCACCTGGTCTTCAGCACAGGCCACTCCTCTGGCTACAGGTCACACGCTCTCAGCTCCACCTTCGGACGAGTCCGTAGAGCCGAGTGGTCCTTACCCAGAGCTAGTCGGCTGCCTCATGTACCTGATGACTTGCACTTGACCTGACCTCGCGTACCCTCTTGGTCTTCTGGCTCGCTACGTGGCTCCTGGTCGGCACCGACCTGAGCACATGGCTGCTGCTAAGAGGGTACTGCGCTACTTGTGCAGCACATCAGGCATGGGGCTAGTGCTTGGAGGGACGAGCCCAGTTGTCCTCACTGGGCACTCAGACGCTTCTTGGGTTGACGACCTGGCTACTCAGCGGTCGTCACAGGGTTACACCTTCAGCCTTGGCTCTGGTTCAGTTTCGTGGCGTTCTACACGCTCGTCTTCAGTTCTCAGCTCCAGTTGTGAGGCTGAGATCTACGCCACAGCCATGGCTGCACAGGAGTTACGCTGGCTCACCTACCTGCTGACTGACTTGGGAGAGCAGCCTCGTTCTCCTCCAGTGCTGTACGTCGACAACAAGGCCGCCATTGCCTTGTGTGAGGAGCACAGACTGGAGCACAGAACGAAGCACATTGCTCTGCGTTACTTCCTGGCTCGAGAGTTGCAGCAGCGAGGCCAGCTTCGTCTTCGTCATGCGGCCACTCGGGCCAACACTGCTGATATATTCACCAAGGCACTTCCGTCTGGTGATCATCAGCGCTTTTGTACCCTGTTAGGCCTTGTGCCTACGTTTCCACACTTGCTGTAGTCTCTGCTTGTACTGTGATCTATATATATACATGCATGCCTGCTCTTGCTAGGTAGTCATCACTGTACTGTTATTGTTGTATATATATCTCTGCATGTGGACTGGCCTTGTGGCCCTTTGCTTGTGCTCAGAATGTGTGGTGACGTTGAGATCCACCCTGAGCTTGCTTTGCTTCTCTTGACTGGTCGTTTGACCCCCTGTTCTCCCCCACTTTGCCTATGGGGGTGTGTCAAACATATATGCTGCATATTTTCTAGGCTGTAGTGGGGTAGCCCATATGGGGTACAGCCCAATTAGGGTTTACTACTTGTACTCCTGCATGCTGCTAGTTCATCCATTCCTGCTGCTAGATTCTGACAAGGTTGGCCCTTATACCGTACATGAATGATTTCTTACGAAAACTAATATCTCCACACCCGCGTTCATTCCTGGGCGTGTCGGGAGCTGATTCGCTTGACTACCCCGAGGAGGTTGGCCTCATATAACTTGGTTTCAGCCTCCATCTTTGGCATTTCTGTTGCATGAACAAAGTTTATGTGCGTTTCGAGGTATCAGAGTAAGAAATTTGAGGCACACTGCCTCATTCTTTTTGCGAGGGCAGTCGTCTGTGCGCATTGGCTGGGGATCCCAACTTTGTGTTTGCGCAATGCATGTAACTTCAACGCAGCCTTGATCTAGATGCATATGTGTTGTGTAAAAAGTGCTCATATGTGTATATGCGTTGCATGGCATGGCACTCGATGTTTAACGCATGATACCATAATCTGTCTGGGTTCGAATGGGTGGAATGGAATCATTCAATACCGTTTGGGAGGACTCGCAATACACACAATCATTCCGCATGAGCAACAAGCCAATTACCGGTACAGCTAAACTGCAGCCCACCTCCTACCGTACTTCATTTCCTCCCTACCCTTCCTAGCCCATCATCATCATCTATCTGCATCACTAGGAAGCACCACCTCAACAGTGCTCTTTCCCTTTCCCCGGCCCTTCCTCTTCTGTTGCGGCTTCTCAGACCCGTCTGCATCACTAGAGAGCACAACCTCAACTCTGCTCTTTCCTTTACCGCTGCCCTTCCACATTTGCTGAGAAATGTCGAGCACATCGTCTTCACTAAGCACCACCTCTACTGTGCTCTTCCCCTTACTCTTGCCCTTGGTGGGTCGAGACTTCTCAGAAACATCATCCTCACTAGGAAGCACCACCTCTAAAGTTCCCTTTCCCTTACCTTTGCCCCTCCTCTTACTTTTCCCTCGCACCTCCTCCTCATCCCCTCCACTGGCCATATCAGCCCACTCCTTTGCACCATCCCCATCAACAACTCTCCCTCCTGCTACCCCTGCTGCATCAATCTCCTCCTCTGCTCCTCCTGCTCTCTCCTTCCCTCTCCGTTTCGACGCCACGTTCGCCGCGCCCTTGGTTGCTTGACTCAATGGAAGAAGCTCGTGCTTCCCCTTCCCCTCACCTCTCCCCTCCTTCTGCTCCCTTTTCGACATGCTTCCTCCCTTCCTACGCCCCTTTGACCCACCTCCCTTCTCGTCCACCCCCCTCCCTCCTTCCACCACCGCCCTTTCACCCACCACCTCTCCTTCCTCCACCCCTACATTCCCCCCACTCCCTCCTCCCTTTTCCTTTCGTTTCGCAGCCCTAGCAGCTGCCTCCTCCTCTTCATACTTCTTCCTCCAAAACTCCCACCTCTCCTCCATCTTATGATTCGCCTTCCTCCTCTCCTTCCTCTCCCTCCTCCCAGCCTTCTTCACCTCCTCCTTCTTCTCCTCCTCCTTCCTCTCCACCTTCTTATACTCCAAAATCCACTGCCACGCCTCCACAGCAGCATTCCACTCGGCAACTTTCTTCGTAGCAGCCGGCTCGCCTACAAAATCAATCCCTGCTGCCGCCCCGCCAAGCCGCAACGTGCACTGATACACCTTCTCCTTTTTCGTCCCGATCTGCTCTGTGTAATACCGAGGTTTGCCCAGAAAATGAACCTTGCAGTTGTTGTGAACGTAGGACTTGAAGTCCTTTCCCACCTCCAGTTTCATATCCACTGCTTTTGTCCGCACGGGTTTGGCTGGCTTGGGAGGGGCGAGCTTTGGCTGGAGGCCGATGGTGAAGGTGCCGTGTGACTGCTCGCACTGCAGCAGGTCAGACACGGCTCCTAGAATGGCCTGGTCTTCTAGTGTCAAAGAAAGACGAGGGTTCTCCAGCTGCGTTGGGTTGTTCCGAAGGAAGGAGAAGAGAGGAGAAAGATTACACACTAGTGAGCTTTGGCTGAAGGCCACTACCGCCCAAACCCGCCCTTCATTACCTCCCCTCATCTCACCCTTGCGTAGAATAAGCGCGTCAAGTTCAGACCGTAAACCAAGCACGGAGCGGGCGGCAGCGGGCGGCATGAAGAATTCAAAGTAGCCGTCCAGCATGTGCAGGTACCCGGGGTCGGTGGTGGGTGTGAGCGGCCCTCCAAACAGCAGCAGAGCTGCATGCAGCATTTGCAACACCCCCTAAACCACACCGCACTTCACCTTGACGCACCCATCATCACCCCTCACAATCACCCGAGACAGCTCCTTACCTTGCGTTGAATGAGCGAGTCGAGTTCAGAGCGCAGCCCGAGAACGGAGCAGGTGGCAGCGCGAGGCATGAAGAACTCAAAGTAGCCGTCCAGCATGTGCAGATACCCGGGGTCAGTCGTGGGGGTGAGCGGCCCTCCGAACAGCAGCAGCGCCGCATCGGACACTCCAGTAGAATCGCGGATAAAGACCGAGGTCGTCTTGATCTGAGAGTGTGGGAGCATGGGGATGAGGAGATGGGGTGGGGTCGGTGATGGGGTGAGCGGCCCTCCAAACAGCAACAGAGCCGCATCAGACACACCAGTAAAGTCACGGATAAAGACCAAGGTCGTCTTGATCTGATTGTAGGTGGGCACAAGGGATGAATGGTGTGTTGGTTTCGGGGTTCAAGCGTAAACGAGAAGGGGTCGGTGGTGGGGGTAAGCGGCCCTCCGAACAGCAGCAGAGCTGCATCGGACACACCGGTGGAATCGCGGATGAACACGGAAGTCGTCTTAATCTGAGAGTGTGGGAGCATGGGGGATGCAGGTATGGGGCGGGGCGGTGGTGGGCGTGAGCGGCCCTCCGAACAGCAACAGAGCTGCATCGGACACACCAGTAGAGTCACGGATAAAGACTGACGTCGTCTTGATCTGAGAGTGTGGGCAGAAGGGATGAATGGTGTGTTGGTGTCAGGGCTCAAGAGTGAAAGAGATGGGATCAGTTGTGGGGGTGAGCAAATTTCCAAACAACAGCAGCGCCGTGCTGGAAGCACCAGTAGGGTCAGACTTTTGAGTCGACTCAAAAGCCACCACCAAAAGGCGGATGTGGGGCCAGGTGGCCCGGCAGAAGTTGAGGGTTTTAAGAGTCGAAAAGAGTCGGAAAAGAGTGGCTGGGACGGGTGAGTGGCTGGGACGGGTGAGTGGCTGGGACGGGTGAGTGGCTGGGACGGGTGAGTGGCTGGGACGGGTGAGTGGCTGGGACGGGTGAGTGGCTGGGACGGGTGAGTGGCTGGGACGGGTGAGTGGCTGGGACGGGTGAGTGGCTGGGACGGGTGAGTGGCTGGGACGGGTGAGTGGCTGGGACGGGTGAGTGGCTGGGACGGGTGAGTGGCTGGGACGGGTGAGTGGCTGGGACGGGTGAGTGGCTGGGACGGGTGAGTGGCTGGGACGGGTGAGTGGCTGGGACGGGTGAGTGGCTGGGACGGGTGAGTGGCTGGGACGGGTGAGTGGCTGGGACGGGTGAGTGGCTGGGACGGGTGAGTGGCTGGGACGGGTGAGTGGCTGGGACGGGTGAGTGGCTGGGACGGGTGAGTGGCTGGGACGGGTGAGTGGCTGGGACGGGTGAGTGGCTGGGACGGGTGAGTGGCTGGGACGGGTGAGTGGCTGGGACGGGTGAGTGGCTGGGACGGGTGAGTGGCTGGGACGGGTGAGTGGCTGGGACGGGTGAGTGGCTGGGACGGGTGAGTGGCTGGGACGGGTGAGTGGCTGGGACGGGTGAGTGGCTGGGACGGGTGAGTGGCTGGGACGGGTGAGTGGCTGGGACGGGTGAGTGGCTGGGACGGGTGAGTGGCTGGGACGGGTGAGTGGCTGGGACGGGTGAGTGGCTGGGACGGGTGAGTGGCTGGGACGGGTGAGTGGCTGGGACGGGTGAGTGGCTGGGACGGGTGAGTGGCTGGGACGGGTGAGTGGCTGGGACGGGTGAGTGGCTGGGACGGGTGAGTGGCTGGGACGGGTGAGTGGCTGGGACGGGTGAGTGGCTGGGACGGGTGAGTGGCTGGGACGGGTGAGTGGCTGGGACGGGTGAGTGGCTGGGACGGGTGAGTGGCTGGGACGGGTGAGTGGCTGGGACGGGTGAGTGGCTGGGACGGGTGAGTGGCTGGGACGGGTGAGTGGCTGGGACGGGTGAGTGGCTGGGACGGGTGAGTGGCTGGGACGGGTGAGTGGCTGGGACGGGTGAGTGGCTGGGACGGGTGAGTGGCTGGGACGGGTGAGTGGCTGGGACGGGTGAGTGGCTGGGACGGGTGAGTGGCTGGGACGGGTGAGTGGCTGGGACGGGTGAGTGGCTGGGACGGGTGAGTGGCTGGGACGGGTGAGTGGCTGGGACGGGTGAGTGGCTGGGACGGGTGAGTGGCTGGGACGGGTGAGTGGCTGGGACGGGTGAGTGGCTGGGACGGGTGAGTGGCTGGGACGGGTGAGTGGCTGGGACGGGTGAGTGGCTGGGACGGGTGAGTGGCTGGGACGGGTGAGTGGCTGGGACGGGTGAGTGGCTGGGACGGGTGAGTGGCTGGGACGGGTGAGTGGCTGGGACGGGTGAGTGGCTGGGACGGGTGAGTGGCTGGGACGGGTGAGTGGCTGGGACGGGTGAGTGGCTGGGACGGGTGAGTGGCTGGGACGGGTGAGTGGCTGGGACGGGTGAGTGGCTGGGACGGGTGAGTGGCTGGGACGGGTGAGTGGCTGGGACGGGTGAGTGGCTGGGACGGGTGAGTGGCTGGGACGGGTGAGTGGCTGGGACGGGTGAGTGGCTGGGACGGGTGAGTGGCTGGGACGGGTGAGTGGCTGGGACGGGTGAGTGGCTGGGACGGGTGAGTGGCTGGGACGGGTGAGTGGCTGGGACGGGTGAGTGGCTGGGACGGGTGAGTGGCTGGGACGGGTGAGTGGCTGGGACGGGTGAGTGGCTGGGACGGGTGAGTGGCTGGGACGGGTGAGTGGCTGGGACGGGTGAGTGGCTGGGACGGGTGAGTGGCTGGGACGGGTGAGTGGCTGGGACGGGTGAGTGGCTGGGACGGGTGAGTGGCTGGGACGGGTGAGTGGCTGGGACGGGTGAGTGGCTGGGACGGGTGAGTGGCTGGGACGGGTGAGTGGCTGGGACGGGTGAGTGGCTGGGACGGGTGAGTGGCTGGGACGGGTGAGTGGCTGGGACGGGTGAGTGGCTGGGACGGGTGAGTGGCTGGGACGGGTGAGTGGCTGGGACGGGTGAGTGGCTGGGACGGGTGAGTGGCTGGGACGGGTGAGTGGCTGGGACGGGTGAGTGGCTGGGACGGGTGAGTGGCTGGGACGGGTGAGTGGCTGGGACGGGTGAGTGGCTGGGACGGGTGAGTGGCTGGGACGGGTGAGTGGCTGGGACGGGTGAGTGGCTGGGACGGGTGAGTGGCTGGGACGGGTGAGTGGCTGGGACGGGTGAGTGGCTGGGACGGGTGAGTGGCTGGGACGGGTGAGTGGCTGGGACGGGTGAGTGGCTGGGACGGGTGAGTGGCTGGGACGGGTGAGTGGCTGGGACGGGTGAGTGGCTGGGACGGGTGAGTGGCTGGGACGGGTGAGTGGCTGGGACGGGTGAGTGGCTGGGACGGGTGAGTGGCTGGGACGGGTGAGTGGCTGGGACGGGTGAGTGGCTGGGACGGGTGAGTGGCTGGGACGGGTGAGTGGCTGGGACGGGTGAGTGGCTGGGACGGGTGAGTGGCTGGGACGGGTGAGTGGCTGGGACGGGTGAGTGGCTGGGACGGGTGAGTGGCTGGGACGGGTGAGTGGCTGGGACGGGTGAGTGGCTGGGACGGGTGAGTGGCTGGGACGGGTGAGTGGCTGGGACGGGTGAGTGGCTGGGACGGGTGAGTGGCTGGGACGGGTGAGTGGCTGGGACGGGTGAGTGGCTGGGACGGGTGAGTGGCTGGGACGGGTGAGTGGCTGGGACGGGTGAGTGGCTGGGACGGGTGAGTGGCTGGGACGGGTGAGTGGCTGGGACGGGTGAGTGGCTGGGACGGGTGAGTGGCTGGGACGGGTGAGTGGCTGGGACGGGTGAGTGGCTGGGACGGGTGAGTGGCTGGGACGGGTGAGTGGCTGGGACGGGTGAGTGGCTGGGACGGGTGAGTGGCTGGGACGGGTGAGTGGCTGGGACGGGTGAGTGGCTGGGACGGGTGAGTGGCTGGGACGGGTGAGTGGCTGGGACGGGTGAGTGGCTGGGACGGGTGAGTGGCTGGGACGGGTGAGTGGCTGGGACGGGTGAGTGGCTGGGACGGGTGAGTGGCTGGGACGGGTGAGTGGCTGGGACGGGTGAGTGGCTGGGACGGGTGAGTGGCTGGGACGGGTGAGTGGCTGGGACGGGTGAGTGGCTGGGACGGGTGAGTGGCTGGGACGGGTGAGTGGCTGGGACGGGTGAGTGGCTGGGACGGGTGAGTGGCTGGGACGGGTGAGTGGCTGGGACGGGTGAGTGGCTGGGACGGGTGAGTGGCTGGGACGGGTGAGTGGCTGGGACGGGTGAGTGGCTGGGACGGGTGAGTGGCTGGGACGGGTGAGTGGCTGGGACGGGTGAGTGGCTGGGACGGGTGAGTGGCTGGGACGGGTGAGTGGCTGGGACGGGTGAGTGGCTGGGACGGGTGAGTGGCTGGGACGGGTGAGTGGCTGGGACGGGTGAGTGGCTGGGACGGGTGAGTGGCTGGGACGGGTGAGTGGCTGGGACGGGTGAGTGGCTGGGACGGGTGAGTGGCTGGGACGGGTGAGTGGCTGGGACGGGTGAGTGGCTGGGACGGGTGAGTGGCTGGGACGGGTGAGTGGCTGGGACGGGTGAGTGGCTGGGACGGGTGAGTGGCTGGGACGGGTGAGTGGCTGGGACGGGTGAGTGGCTGGGACGGGTGAGTGGCTGGGACGGGTGAGTGGCTGGGACGGGTGAGTGGCTGGGACGGGTGAGTGGCTGGGACGGGTGAGTGGCTGGGACGGGTGAGTGGCTGGGACGGGTGAGTGGCTGGGACGGGTGAGTGGCTGGGACGGGTGAGTGGCTGGGACGGGTGAGTGGCTGGGACGGGTGAGTGGCTGGGACGGGTGAGTGGCTGGGACGGGTGAGTGGCTGGGACGGGTGAGTGGCTGGGACGGGTGAGTGGC